GTTGTGTGCAAAAGGAACTCACTTGCTCCATTACACCTACTCCCGTGTCTGCCTCTGCAGTTAGCCCGTGGGTGACTGGGAGAGGCAGTCTGTTCATGACATCACATTAAAGAGAGCTGAGGTCCCTTCAGGCTTCTGATGCTTCCCCCATGCCTGTGTTGAAGACAGCATGTGACACAGCCAGGTGTGGAGATGGTGACCCTCATGCGATAGGCAGCCCATTGGTGACCAGCTCTTGGGTGACTCTACCTCACTGACCTGTGGGGCATTTCTCATGCACTGCCTCTTTCTGCAGGGCTGCAGGACACTGACTCAGGCCGTGAGAAGGCAGAGGGCTTTCTTGCCAGTGCCTTTTCTAAATATAAGCCTAAATTAAAGCAGGCTGTCGGAGCGTCCCACACGAAGGTCATCTGTGAAAGGGGAGCTTTGGGGCACGCCATAAGCCATCCCGCCTCACCTACATCATCTGGGTGAATCTGTCATACTCAGGAAATAGCATCACCTACAGTGGCCTTGTCACACAACAGGGATCTCTGGTATCAGACCCCGAGGACTGGACAGAGCTGGCTTCTCCCCACCTGGAATGAGTTCCCATGAGCTGTCTGCCTTGCATTTTCTTCACATTACTCTACCTACTGTCCTCAGAGCTATGCCACTTGTGAATGAGACAAAGAACCACCCACCACCACCTTCATCCTGAAACCCAAGGCAGTAACGAAGGACACTAATGAAAATGTGTCATTTGTTGGGGGGTTTTGTAGAAATGTCAGTGTGAGCAAAATTGTTCTCTCTCAGCTTTCACCAGCACTGGCCTGGAACTGTGTGGGGTATAAGTGGGATTTTAATTTGATGTATTTGGGAAGACACCTCAGGGATAACCATCTGGTACCGATTGCAGGTCTGTGAAGTTTTTCTAACTTTTGCTGGGTTTCCCAAGGGCTCTAACTTTCAGGGCTATGGTTGGGACTCTGCCCTGGTGGGGGTCTGGTCATGTGTCTGATAAGGTTGGCATTGTCCCTCAGATAGCTCCTTGGTTCATAGTCAAAAAGAAATAGTAATGGACAGACTTGGTTTTATTTAGTTAGGTTTTTGTTTTTAAAAGTAAAGTTTCACATTTGATTGATTGATTGGGGGCGGTGCAGGGGCATACACACACCTGACCAAAGCGCACACCCCACAACATACACACACACACAACCAAAGCACACACACACACACACCCCACAGCATACACACTCACCCCTACCAAAGCACACACCCCACAGCGTACACACATATACACACACACACACACACACACACACACACCATAGCATGTATACACACACCACAGCACATACAAACACCATAGCAGGTATACACATACCACAGCACACACACCCCCAGCACACACACACACACCCCCAGCACACACACACACTCCACAGCACACACACACACCCCACAGCACACACACACACCCCACACGCTACCAACATGGCTGTGGGGACGCGGTCTTCAGAGTCTGTGGTGTTCTGACAATCTTTATGGTGTCTGGATGTAGTGAGAGGGGAGGCAAGTGTGGACGTGGGGTTCTGCTATTCACTATTGCCAGCCGTTCTGCTTTCTGGATTTAGTCTTGTTAAAAATCATAGGTTGTTAAAAGTCCATGGTTAAAGATGAATTATTTTTTATGGAGATAAATATAGGAAAGTATTCCAACACAGTGCAGAACTAAAACCACTAGCCCTCTATTTCATCTTATGGTATGTTTTCTGTGCTGGGGATCAGATGGCCATGTGCATGCTGAGCCCGTACTCTGCCACTGAGCCTCAGCCCTCCCTTGCCTTGCAGCTTGGATTGCGAAGGGTCCATTTGAACCCATGGAAATTGTAGAAGGAATTTTCGGAATCCCTTTAAGAAAGAAGGGAAGTGACGTAATAGCAGTCCCTCAGGCGGAGAGACCTGCCGCAGAAAACAGCGCAGACTTCTGCTTTTGTGTCTGGTGGGCCCTGATGGTGTGTGGGGTGATCTCACCCCTAATAAGGCAGCTGAAAGAAGTGATCTGTTCACCACAAAGGTGTTGTTACTAAATAGGAAGAAATTACATGAGTCATGTCAGGTTGGTTATGGTACACATATGTAATACATGTAGTGAAGTCTTACATAGTAGCCTGAGGTCATATTCTCAGAGTCTCAGGTGATGTGAGCTTGTGGTTGAATATGAACTATGGAGACTGCCACCCAGGTCTGTGCGTACAGTAAGGTCATCCTTATAGGATGTATATGAGAACATTGGTAGCCAATACATTGAATGTTAGGATGCTTCTCTCTCTGTCTCTTTCTGGTTAGTGAGGTATATTTCAATTTCATGATATATACTTATAAAATCTATAACCAAGACATATTTTAAAATGTTGATCTCTTGAGACACCATAGCACATGTTGTTTCTCAGTGACAGTCTCATTGATATGATGGGGATTCCTCTGAACTCACATGAGGACTTCAGGAGCCCTCCCCCCCCCCCCATGGACTTAGTGTATTCATGAAATGCGTTCTGCTGTGGCCATCACCACAATCAAATTGAGAATATTTCTACTGCCTGGAAAGAAATTCTAGACCCAGTGACAGTCACCTCCTTAGCCGTCTGGCACAGTCTCCTTTCTGTCCCTATGATGTGACCTTTCTTTTCCTCCTCTTCCTCTCCTCTTCCTCTCCTCCTTCCCTCCTCCTCCTTTCCTCCTCCCCTCCTTCTCCCCTCTTCCTCTCCTCTTCTTCCTCCTCTCTTCCTCTTCCCCTCCTCCTCCCATCTTCCTCTCTCCCTCCCCTCTTCCTCCTCCCCTTCTCCCTTCTTCCTCTCTTCCTCCCCTTTTCCTCCTCCTCTTCTCCCCTTTTCTTCTCTTCCTCCCCTCTTTTTCCCTTCTTCCTCCTCCCCTCCTCCTCCCCTCATTC